CATGTAAACTGCACACACGCAGGGTAAGCATGTAAACTGCACACACGCAGGGTAAGCATGTAAACTGCACACACGCAGGGTAAACATGTAAACTGCACACACAGCAGTGGTGTGGGCATGGCGACACTGCACTCCATCACACCAGGCTCGCACGACACGCGATGTTAATACCAACGTGGCATTTCATGCACATGCAACTGTCACATCGCCAGGGACTGAGACATTCCGCTGGGTTCAAACCATCAATAAGTTGCGTTAAAATATTTTTACTCAACCACTGGAAACAAAACTTAACGAGTTATGCAATTTTAATGATGGCTCCTTTTCAAAATAATACAGTTTATGTAAAAATGTCATTTTTTGCTTTTGCTTGGGCTCTGGCAGGCGCTGTCCGAGACAATAACCACTCTCATGGCGGCTCTCAAACTCACTCATACCAACAGAACCATAGATCGCATTGGAACGTTTGTGAGAAATTAAAAATGAAGTGAATAAGTAAAACGCAAACATGAAGAGGTCGTGAAAAGACATTCATCTTCTGCGGCATGGAAATATTCTGTATTCCACAGAGATGATACTGAGCAAAAGCAAATGATTTGTCGGCACTGGTGTGTGATGCCATAACTAACTTATTCGACACGCACTGTTGGTAGAGAAGTTCTATTTGCTATATAGTTCATTTTCAACTCCTAAATATCGCCAAAACTTCAAATACCGGGATAAATGGCACATTTCTATGGAACCTGGCGTTACTGGGTGAGTCCGGCAAACCGGAACGTCGTCTTCTACAACATATTTGCCTTGCAGTTCTTTTGTGCTACTTAAGTTGTGCTCTGCAATGCTGACTGATGACTGCATTTTCATTCACTTTTAACGTGAAGTATTTCCACACAAGTGACGCATTTGCTCTTTATTTGGACCCTCGTCACCTATGGGCCGTCATCCTTCCTCCATATTGCAGAGTAATCAAAAAGGCAGATTTTAAAATCGACTAATAATCGAGTTAGAGTTTAATCGTGTAATAGCGGCAGCTCTAATCAACACCCTCGCCGATCAAGTCCGTAGCTCAGATTCCGTCGCTCAACATCAGTCGTGCTCAAGCTTTGTGACGCCAACAAGTTGGCAGCCAATGATCCACCTTTTGTTTTCACGGGTTTGAACAATGCAGCATGCAGGTTGCTTCCAACTAAGGAAACATGCTGTACCAAATTACGCGAGCTGACTGAACCGGACCAGGCCGAGCAGAAGAGCATGAGAACTGTAAACATATGTAACTCCTAGAAAAACAAAAAAAGCTGACACTCTCCATGGCTATGTGCACTAAATGCCAAAGATGAATTTTTGCATATGTTATTATACTTATTTTCTGAGAATGTCAGCAATCCTTCATGAGTCACAGTTAGCCACGATTGCGAGGGCCTGTGGTCAGCTTCCCGGTGGCTCGAAGCCGACTGTAGACGACGCCTTGCGCCAAGAACACCAACCAAAAACACCGCCTAGGAAGTCCCGCAACTGACATCACCACCGAAACGGTGCACATCAAGACCGCCCGGCAGCGCATTTAAAATACCAGACCTGGAAAAATCTCCAAAACAACCACAGCTGCCACTGAACCTCAGTCAAACACGCATCAATAAATTATAATTGGGAGGTTGCCGGTCCACGTCCCGTGAAGGAGCCTGTTTTATTTCGCTTGAATTCTTCCATTCAAACACCCAGCTGTATAAATGGGAAAAGTCAACTTTGAGCAAATGCACAAATGGTGCATCAGGAGAGAAAATAAGACTTAAGACTTAAAAGAGCACTTCAGAGGTTCTTCATTAAGGAAGGGAAACAGATTAACAGCCTTCCACACTGCAAGGCAAAGCCGGGGTTATCGCAGTCTGAAATGTGACGTTCCCCAGTTGATTAGGCTAGTCTAGACCAGTGTTTCTCAACCCGGTCCTTGGGGACCCCCCAGATGGTCCATGGCTAGTCTACATACAAGAGAGGACAGGACCCTGGCGGGAGACACGCATCATCACTTCGGAAGGTGAGGACAATTTGGGGATGAGGGGCGGGTGACCAGTCCTTCCTCGTCTCTGCCACCATACCCTTCCAGTGAAGGTAACCTGGCTGGAAAACAAACCTTGGCTAGACATCACCAGGGTCTGGCTGCGGAACAACAGAAGCTCATTTGAGTGCATCGGAGGGACAATCTTTGACTAGCATTTAACCAGTGAGTGAAGCTAGCTATACTTGCCAAACATTTTCATTCTATTCTGCAGACATCTTTCTAGCCATCTATATACTTCTTTCAAATAATAATAATAATGAGATACTTTATTGATCCCCGTGGGGAAATTGTCTTTACGCCTTCCTCACCTTGCTCTTTTTTGTAGAGTAAGCTGTCCGCGAAGGGCAGCCACCTGGAGCTGGGGGTTAAGGGCCTTGCTCAAGGACCCACAGACGTGCTGAGGCTGGGTTTGAACCGGCGACCTTGTGATTACAGGCACAGAGGCTTAGCCCACTGAGCCACACGCCCACAACTAAGGATCTAGATTCCCTCTGCAATAGTATTAATTTTTTTTTTTTTAATTGACGTTTTGTACCAATGGAGTCATGATGATGATCTTAAGGAGACTGAGAACATCCTACAATGGATCAAACAGCTTTGGCACTTTTTCCAGGGTGGACACTAACAAACATTAAGCAACGTCAAAATCCCACCTCACCTTACACACACACGCATGTCGGTGTATCTAAATGGCGACCGTCTCTACAGGAAAAACCCTAATCCCAATCACGACACCCTTAACCTCTATCCATAAGTAACCAACCCAAATACAAGACTTTCGGCATTTTTACTTTGATTGCATTCACAGATTTTTATAAAACTGAGGTCACCCAAATGGGGAACTCAAAAGATGTGCCCAAAATTAGGGAAATTTCAGGTTTTACTACAACTTGGTCCTCAAATGTGATCTATGCAAACACACACACCTGTATTCATATCTTTGTAGGGACTGTCAATTCATGTCTAAGGGAAAAACCCTAATCTTAACAATGACGACCATAACCCTTACCCAGACCTACCCTTAACCATAAGCAACCAAACAAGATAAGACTTTTGTCAAAACAGCAGATTTTTAATCACAATTTGGGGACATTTGGTCCCTACAATGTAAAATATACATGACCTGCGCACACAGGCCAGGATGACTATATAAGTGATCTTAATGCCCATATTCACATTCATATATCAAAAAAAAACCTAACTGCTTTAGGAAAATAATTTGGCGAGCTGCCACTGATCCAACATTTCTACGTTCAAGTTGCTCATTATGAAGGAGCAAAAGCATTCTAGTCCATGGCAAGGCATAAGCGCCCCCCCCTCCCCAAAACCATACAGTGCAGGCTAATTTAGAGATGGCAGCTTGCCTGACCAGAAACAAGGAGAACATGCAAGCTGCACACAGAGAGATCTGGGCTTGAGGCCCCCAACCCAAGAGCTCTGAGGCGACCGTGCCGCCCACTGATCTATTTGCGCAACACGCTGGCTATTTCCAATTTTCCTTCAGGCTAATTAAAACACCCAAACCTTTAAAGTTACTAGGCAACACCATATAAGCCTCCAGCAACTGCTCTGCAATCTTTTCCAGATATTTGGTTTGGACAAGCAAGGTGATGTTCTCATTTCAGGTTTTAAACCACAAGATGTAACAATTTACATTCAATTATAAGATTAAAATGTTGTTTTGTGTGTGTAACGCTGCCCGTCAAATTAGGTTCACGGGAGAACAGTCTCTCTCTCAGGAAGTACAGGGTGTGAGGAAGTGCAGATAGTCTGTACTGAACGTCTCGTACGCGCAGACACACGCATGCAGCACGCCTCAACAGCAGCAGCTGTATCCAACACCAAGTTATATCAGGGAAAGGAAATTCATGTTATACCAGAAACAAACATTTCAGTTCTAGTGATATTTTAAGAAACATTTTCCATATCTAGAAGGTTACATTGGTAAATGCTGGAATCTTTCCAATACCAGGATACAAAATGTACTCGTACATCAAATTTATAACATTTTTGGGAAGTCTTCCCACAAAAGCCCTCCCCCACAGATGTCGCAACTTAATTTTTTTATGAATAGTTTAAAGGGTTAAAGGCACCCGACAATACAACCACCAAAGGTCTAGTCTCAGTTACAGTTAAAATTCTGTGTGCCAATTCTCAGCTTTAGTGACCAGAGGGAAACTGTATTTAACTTATTGGAAACACCCACAAAGCAATTCACCTCCCACCCTCACCCCCTGCCCCCCCCATGCAAACGGCAAAACTTAAAGCTATCGCCCCCAACGGCCCTCATTCCCAATCAGCAACAATGTGTCTCTCAAATTCATTGCAAACCATCTGCAGCCTTCTCAGTAACATCTGCTTTTTATACACTGTACTTAGTACATTCTGATAACCTCCCCCAACTTTGCCTAAAAGTCTAAACAAACCAATGAATTTATTAGGCATAAAATTAGAAAACTGTCTTTCACACAGAGGCTCCTACTAGTAATGAGTTCTGCCGAGCCTTCTGGGTAACGGATCGGCCAACCCCTAGAGACCCGTTAGTGTGAGGCTGCCACCACCCCCCCTTGCAAAATCTGGCATCACCTCCCCGTGTCGATGTACGATTTACGTTTCTGAGAAGATGCATGTTTGTTTCCATAAGCACACACACCCCCCCCCCCCCCCCATTATGGAAAAGGCCAGGGAGAGCAGAGCCTCAATTCACACGTCACGTCGGAGCTGCCTGCAGTAAATGGAAGCATTCTGCATTGTCGGCCCCATGACGTATGAACAGTCAGTTGCTGTGGCAACACTGACGATAGTGCAAGGGACGGCCAAGGGATCTGCGAGTGAGGGCGCAGCACAGCCGACGGCTGAGTCCAAGGCCTCCCTTCCTCGCGGGACGGACTGCGCAGACTTATTCCCATGCTTTGGGACATCTGGGCTGATGGCATAGCAAGTAGGTCCCACATAAACTTGTTTTCTAGGAACTTCAACATCGTAACGATAAGCAGAACAAAGGAATTTGGAATATGAGCAAAATCGGATTACTGCTAATCCAAGTACTGCAGTATTTTCTTAGGATTCAGTTCTTCTCCATGCCTGCAAACACATTTAGCAGAGTTTCATAATATGCGACTAAAGGGTGGTTTGAATGTGTCACATTGTTCTAAATGCCAGCAAGAAAACAGAAGCTCGCAAGCCACAGCAGGGACGGGAACATCTTCAGATCACACGAAAGAGGCTGCCCTTTTGGCAAGAGTGACACCGTGTGGCAGACACCGGGCACAGGCCATTATCGTCACTAGCTCATAAGACAGCTGGCAACAAATGATGACCGTTTTAAAAATGACTGGATTAGAAGGCAAACTTTTATATGGATGTTATGCATTCCGGAACTGGAAGCCAAGCAAAGGACCTCTCTTACTTTTAGGGAAAAAAGTCTAGATCTGCTAGTTAAGCAGGAGACAGGATATCAAGTCCTCCAAAATTTGCCTCCCCGCAGGGGCTGTGTTGCTCTGTTCAGAGATGGTCCTGCTTCGAACTATTTAACCAAGAGTTAAACTGTGCAGCCAGGATCAAAATCTGAATAATGTGTCAGATCAAAGAGCCTCTTTCACCGTCAGCACTATCCAGCAGTTTCACAGTCAGGACTAAAACTGAACACACCTTTTGTTGAAGAATGTGGTGTTCTCCCGACTTTTCGTAAAGCCGTTGGGTAGCAGCCTCAGCTGCAGGTTGAGTCTGTGAGCTCCCAGTCTCAGTATGCGGGCCTGCAAAGACCAAGGAGGTTAGGCTGCAATGTCACCAATCTGGTCTGCTGATCTTGAGCAGAACTCCTGTAACGACTGGCTCAGTGGGTTAGATAGCTGCGCCAGTTCAAAACCCCAGAGTCAGCAGACTGATGTCTCTTTTGGGTCTCTGAACATGGGACTTGCTCCAGTGACTGGCTGAACCACCACCACTGTGTAGCACCCATCTGGACGATGCAACGGCAGCCATTCTGCATCACTAGGCTCACCACACAGTAGCTAAGGTGGTGAAGGGGTAGGAGAGAATTATTAGATATAGGGGATGATTAGAAGGCTAGATTTGAAGGGGCCCTAGTGGGCAATTTAGCCAGGACATCGGGGTACCCCGCTTACTCTTTCAAAAGATGCTCAGGGATCTTCCATGACCTCAGAGTGAGGACCTTGGATTTATGATTCATCGAAAGGACGGCGCCATTTTATTTGAGTTAGACCCTGGATGCTCTCATAACCCTTAGCAACTAGCATTTCCTGGCAGGGATCATGCATAAACAAACACCCCATTCAAATCACACCATCATCACACCAAAGAGGATGACTGCAGATGGTAATGGAGAAGATGCCTACTTTTTGGTTTTTTTGTTGAGGCAGGCGATGGCGGTCCCTGGTAATGCTGTCGGCCAGTCTCCCAGAGTCCTCCAGAAACCTGTAATCTGAGCACAGAAACTCCACCTCACACATGCCCACAGTAGCACCCTGATAACTGGGTAACGGTGACTGAACATACCACTGAGGAGGGTCATCTCATCAAAGCAGGACAGGGGCACAAATGCAGTCTTGTCCCGCACTCCAGTGCACCCCGAATCTGATTTGTGCTTCTTTACGCAGGGCAAGCTTGGGGTCAAATAAAGTCAAATACCTAATAAATACTGTGTAATCGAAAAACAATCATATTGACAAGTTAAATCTTTCTGGGTTTAATCTTGTATTGTTTGATAATGAAACACAACTGAGCAAGGGCAGACTGGCAGCAAAAGCAGCCCCGTAATTTGCTTGGTATAATTTTGGTCTCCATTAGGTTTACCCTTTATTTTAAGTGCTCTTTGCTTGGAAAAATCCATCTTCTCTTTAGAATCGTAAACCAAGATAATTTCAAGCACTACCAGAGTCATAGGTGCCCATACAGTTGTTTACAATACGTATTTACATATGTATAAAGTTCCAAAAACTAAAAGCACTAACGCAATTGTTAAAGTTGCAAACTTCGAATACATTTACCCTCCGCCCTCCGTTCGAACACCTGCTCCGTTAAAACTCTATGCACGATTTACTGGCATTATAAACCTGCATGTGTCTGAAATCTGTCGGAGGTGTTATTATTCCGATAAAATTACCGATCAACTAATTACTGATCCATTACAAACATCCGTTTGTTAGGGAAAAAGCCTCTGTGTTGTCTTACCTGCAAGAGTGTTTCAGACACGCTGGGCATCTGTATTTAGCTTCTTCTGCTCCACACGCTTCGCAGCTTTTCAGAAGAACAAAACCACACACATGCCATTCATGGCGTTACTTACCACTTAAAAGGGCAAAAGTAACAATCATTTATCAACGCGGTGGGTAAAAAGCTTCCGTATCGCTTATAGTTCTTTGTAAAATACAGAAAATTGTGGAGGCGTACCTTGCCAAAGATATTTTCCGTTTCGTTCCTCTCATTTCTTTTGTACTGTCTTCGCCATCTAAATAGACAGGTTTAAGTTCTGATTCCTCCATATAAACTACTTAAGAAAAAGCCAGCGATAAACAAAACTATTATAAGAAGTTCACCCACTAGTGAACCACCACGCTGCGCACTCACATGAAGACCTTGCCGTATTTTAGTTTGTTATGGTAAATTACGGCAGTAGATCGCTCTGTGCGGCTGAGCGTTGCCAGGTGACGGCTTCTTGACGTTTTACGGCAGGGCAGCCCTTTACGTCAATGGTTGGTGTACCACATCATGTGATCGGTATCACCGAAATGTACGTTACGGTGATACGTTAAATTAATTTAGTCCTTGAACAGCCTATCTGAATTACGCTTTTACCACAAGACAAAAATGCGACAGTGATGTTATTTATTGCTGTTACTGGTTTATATTTATTGGCAGTAGTCCAAAGGATCCAGTGAAGAATTTCATTGTTCTATGTTAATAACTTTTTCAGGTTCAATAAATCTGTAGGGGAATTAATGTAATTTAATTTAATGAATCGTTTAATTGCATGGAATATCTTCCTTAAATCCTCGTTTCATCTGTCTGAGTTAATTCATCCAAATTGTTTACACAGACCTCAGGGACAGACTTTTTGACTTGGATAAAATGCAATTATCCAGTATCAAGTAACATTGTTTGAAGAGATGCTACATAAATATTTCAGCTTAGAGAGATGTATTCTGTGACTTAAGTGTGTGTCGTATGCTTTGCCAAAACAATGTGTTTGATTAACTGACTGCATCTGCCATTCTTGGTTGTGTAGGTGGCGAATTATAAACCTACTGGATTCATCGGTCCATTCATCCGTCTATCTATCCAACCATTTTCTACACCTGCTTGTTCTGTACAGGGTCGTGGGGTCTAGAGAATATCCTGGAAACTATACAGGCAAAAGGCAGGGCGTTATTTAGTTAATAAAACACATTCACACGTGTACAAGAGGGTGGCAAGCTGTCTCTGAAGGTGCATTTTCAGTAAAACATCTGGACAAAGTTAGGGTGACCATATCCCATAATATAGGGGCCCTATAGCAGAATGCTTTACCACCTACTGTCACTTTATTTATATGCAGAACAACAAGGAAACCTGCATTCTGTGATCTGAGTGGATGACTCACTTCTAAGCTTGAAGTAATTCTGTCAGGTAGGCAGGAGCTAGACCTTTAAGTGCCTTATATGTAAATAGGAGAACTCTGAAGTCAGCTCTAAACTAAGGGAACTAAGAACAAGGGTTAATTCTCTTTAATGGCTCTGGCCAGACATTAATTTCTCGAGTGAATGAGATTATCCCAAAATGAGGCCGTGATTTCTCTCCCCTGCTTTTGTATTTTGAATTATTTATCATACTGCTGGCAAAACTTTCACTTGCTGTCTACAATCTGCCTGTAAGACGAGTGTAAGGAGCAATTTGAGAATAATTTGATATTTAAATGCATTTTAACTGGGATATTACAAATGAATAAGCAAGGATATTACTTGTAGTGGTAAGCCATTTATGCATTTTTATTTCGTTTACAAGTCATGCAGACCTTTCCCAGATAGCAAAATTCTTTTGGGCCAGATCTGGCCCACACTATTCATCTTCCTCTGGCCCAGAAACCGCAAAGAATGACATGGTTCTTCCTGATTTGGCCCATAGCAGGCCCAGTGACATCATAAACATGGCTACACAATTGATATCAATAAAGTTTATTTTTACTTTTACTATAAACAATATATAAACACTTTTCAACAAACTACTGATTTATATTTAATTACACTTCCCTTTGTAACTTCAACAGACAGATGAGGCATTTAAAGCACTTTACAACATACAACATATCTAAGAACATGTCCCTGTAAAACTGGTTAATAAAATGTGAAATTTGGGTGGTCAAAAACACACACAAAAACTCCAAATACAAAACAAGTAAATACATTGCAAGCAATGTAATTAAGTGTCATTGGCCCTTTTTGCATGTTCCTTCATTCCTCCATCCCTGTCAGGTGCCAACTGAAGCCATCTTTGAATGTTTTTCTCTGCCTCCTGGTCCGTTGCACTCTTAGTTAAGGAAGTACTACACACAACACAAAACTATTAATGCCACCTGCTTCTAAGGCATAGAACATAAATCATACCTTCAAGATCAAGACAGCACCCAACATTTATAGGATAAAACAATTCCAAAACATATACAGTAGTACACAAATAAGGAGATATTAATCATTATATCCATGACAGAATATCATGAACAAGTAAACAATATTTAAACAGGATTGTTAATTTCACCATTTTATTCACAACACAAGTCAAAGTTATAAGCATGTATGTATGCAATCTGAAATGTAATCTCTGTTCTGATCTGACATAAAAAAACAATCATTGCTGAACTGTAACTGTCCAGAAGGCTGCTATATCCAATATTGCATGGGATATATGCCTCTGATTTTTCCATATGAATTTTATCCCTGATTTATATATTGTTTGATATATATATATATATATATATATATATATATATATATATATATATATATATATATTATTTATTTATTTTTTTTCCAGCCCTGATAAGGAAGCCCGGCACCCCATACTCCCGGAGCACCCCCCCACAGGACTCCCCAAGGGACGCAGTCGAATGCCTTCTCCAAGTCCACAAAACACATGTAGACTGGTTGGGCAAACTCCCATGAACCCTCCAGGACCCTGCCGAGAGTATAGAGCTGGTCCACTGTTCCACCGCCAGGGCGAAAACCACACTGCTCCTATCTGGCGGAATCTCCTCTCCAGAACCCCCGAATAGACCTTACCAGGGAGGCTGAGGAGTGTGATCCCCCTATAGTTGGAACACACCCTCCGGTCCCCTTCTTCAAGCGGGGGACCACCACCCTGGTCTGCCAGTCCAGAGGCACTGCCCCCGATGTCCACGCGATGCTGCAGATGTGTATCAACCACGACAGCCCTGCAGCATCCAGAGCCTTGAGGAACTCCAGGCGGATCTCATCCACCCCAGGGGCCCGACCGCTGAGGAGCTTTTTAACCACGTCAGTGACCTCCGCCCCCAAGAAAGGGGAGTCCAATCGCAAGTCCCCAGACTCTGCTTCCTCATTGGAAGGTGTGTTGGTGGGATTGCGGGGGTTTTCGTAGTATTCCCCACCATAAACAGTGTTGATGCTGCACCACTTTCCCACCTTGAGCTGCCGGATGGTGGACCAGACTATCCTCGAAGCTGTCCAGAAGTCGTTCTCAATGGCCTCGCCAAACTTCTCCCATACCTGAGTTGTTGCCTCAGCAACTGCCGAAGCCGCGTTCCGCTTGGCCCACCGGTACTCATCAGCTGCCTCCAGAGTCCCACAGGCCCAAAAGGCCAAATAGGACTCCTTCTTCAGCTTGATGGCATCCCTCACCGCCAGCGTCCACCAACGGGTTCGGGGATTACGATCATAAATACATATAATAATTAATAAAGTAATGTACAGAGCGGCTTATTTGGGACTCCCGCCCCCCCCCCCCCCCCCGCTCTGTACCAGCCTCCTCCTCTCTGATTCCTATTTAATCCCCATGCACAACTATGTAAATTAGCAATGCAATTCGTCGCTACTTAATAAATCGGACATTACGCGGTCGCTTCATGTCTGAGGCGTGTAAACGGTCTGTAAACGATTTTAATGCAGTGTCAGAACATGGAGTTTCACATAATTTCCATGGCAAAAGATCGTCTGGATCTGCACACGACGTGAATGATTACTTCCCGGATTAAGGTCAGGGAAAAGTCGAAGAGGAGGTTTTTCCAGTGCTCAGTCCGAAATCGCGTCAGGGAACTTGTGAGAAAATGCTTCTGAACCGCCACAGATGAGTGCATTTTACGAGGAATACGAGGAAACAGATTAAATATGTTAACTAGGAGACATTTAAAGATATTCTTTTATAGGGTGCCTGTATTGGTAAAATTAAGTATAAAGATATGTCTATACATGTCTGTATGTTCCTTCTAACATATCTTTGTAATGTGTTTATCTGGTTACTGATCCTTCATTAGTGAAGTTACGTGACAGCATTAAATTTGTTGTTATCAGAAAGAAACTTTAAAGACATTTATATAGGCCGATGTATGATAATTCAAACCAAAAGGTGGTTGACATGATACATAATGGTTGCAAATACAGATTTTAATATTTAAATATTCACACAACGAAGGGTATTCTTTTGTAGTGTGTAACATGACATATGTTTTTGATGAAATCCAAGCTCATTTCCAGTAATCTCCTGTCAGCAGAACCCATTAAGCAAAAAATATATGGGTTTATCCCAAAGTACATGCATACACTCAGGATTTTACAAAGTAACTTTACTGATTATAATAGTATAAATTCCAGAGCTCAAACATTTTCCCAAAAATGCGGCATGTTTACCAAGGTTGCCCCAAAACACTTTTAGTTTATTAATAACAGCTGAGGAAAACACTATTTCTCACAGCCTATTTAACATAAATATGCGAACCAACATTTCATACCCAAAATTCTCAATAGTTAAGAAGGCTGAAAATTGCTTAGTCATGGTATATGTGCACGGAGAATCCTAAGGAATGATGTATAATTTAAAAACAAATTATTGTTACAATGAATATGGGAATATATGACTGATGGATTTCAATAGGCCTATCACATATGGAGATCTGATAGCCTGTCCTGCAGCCCTAGTTCTGAAAAGGTGGTGCAAGAGCTAAAGAACAACCTATTCTAGGTTGCTCCCCTAAAGGTTGCTGTAATTCTTGCTAAAGATTTACAATCATTCAGGGAAAGTGATGGAAGGGCCTATAAAGAAGACCAAAAAAGAGGGTGGTCCCTTAAATGTTCTGAAAACGTCCTGGGAATGTAATGGAAAGACCAAATAGGACGAAAAAGGAACATTAAAGTTTGGTCCCCTAAACGTTCCCAGCACATCCTGAAAGTTCCCTGAATGTCCTCAAAATAACGTCCCCCAAACATCTAAAGAGCTCCACATTGTGACATCCCAGGAATGTCCTGGGAAGGTCACACGGAGACGATGGGGATGTTCTCAGAGCGTATAATTTCTAGTTGGGAGGTACTTTTATGACATGGTGTAATTGTGCTGTAATCAGTACATACAACTTATTACAAATGTGTCAGGGTCAGCACCTATGTGCCCCAACCTTTCGTGTTTCTT